TTTTTTTTTTTGTTTCTATTTGAGACAATATTCTCTGAAGAGTTTTTTCAGTCTGCTGAGTGCATCGTGCTGGGAGAAGAGGCAAATAAGTCTAATTTTATTATAGTTAGTACAGTTAGGGGATTTTTTTAATAGTATTGACCGGAAAAAATAATTTTAAGACAGTTGAGCACGTGATTTGGTCCACTTCAATTTTTTTTTTGCTCTTGTATTCTATTCTAGGTTGGCATGGAAAAATTTGGAGATAATACTTTGAACCATTGATTTCAGTTGGATTTTCACTTTGGTTCTCATTTAATTTCAGTCCTCTCATAGTTCTTTTTAAGAGAGAAAAAATATTTATTTTATTATATTTACTAGTTTTTTTTTTGATATGACTCTAAGTTGTCGAACACAACTGTACTTAAATATACTTATAACAAATATTAAATAGAGTATTCAAGACGTTTAAAGACTATCGTTGATGCACTTATGAAGTGCTTATTGGTCTTCCAAACTGTTTTGCTTCTTATTGAACAGGCGTTCATTGAAATCAGGCGTTATATTCAGTTGATATTTTCAGGTGAACAGGAGCTGCCTTGATTAGCGGAGTTTCTCACACAAATTTTTTGCTGATAGAGGTTACTAAGGTTTTGTTTTTTTTTTTATTTCTGGCAAAATTTATCCAAAGCAGTTTATATACAGCAACCATTGTGCACTAGACTTTTTCTAGTGCTACTGCTTTTTGCAGTATCGGTTTAGGTTTTTGAAAGATAAAAGATTTTTTTGTTCTAATTATCTATAGCGAAAAGAAGTAAAAAAATGTTCCAATGTTGTTCAAAATGACCTTGAACAGAGATGTGAAGATATGGGAACCAGAAATGTCAGAGAAGTTTTTAGTTTTTTTTATAATCTTTCTATTTTTTATCGCGCTATATGTTTTTTTTTTTTGAAGAAAGTAGAAAATTAAAAAGACGATAATTTAATCGTGGAGGATTTTCAGGACTTTGTACGGTAATTAAGCAATGAAGAAAAATGTAAATCTTATGCATTATTTTTCAAAGGAAATCAGCATTATTTTTTAATTTGCTCTTGATTTGGTCACACCTGAAACTTTTGAAAATTATTTTTCATTAAGAATGTTAAAAGTCACTGCGACGGGAAGCTGTAATTTTTGACTTTTTTCTATAAAAATTTGTATCATATTTATGCCCATTTCTGATCTTTATTTTTTAGATTTAGCATACAGGTTTTTTTTTTTTGAAGTTCAATCTTAAAGTCTATATTCCTTAATTGTACAACTTTATTTACATATTTCCTGCTTTATTTTTTTACAAATTAGTTGCTTTTTTTTTAAAGCAGTATAAGTGGTGCAAAAAAGGCCCATCTTTTGTGACAGCTAATGAGGGTTTATTAGTGAATGAGTTGATTGGGCGTTGCCAACTGTGTGAATTTAGCTTTTATGCTGCTTCAGACATAGAATCGAGCAGGTATGACGGAATATATTATACTTGGTAGTATTTTTTTCATTTATTTTTTAAAATTTTAACGTTTCTGCATAAAGATGTTTGATTGCACAGCAAACTTGTTTTGGGACCTCTCTGTCACATTGTGATTGTTCTGCTTCCTTAGCTACTACCCTGATGTTTGTACTTTTATCCAAGTCTTATGAATTTTGTTGCTACTTCTTGTCATTATCTTCTGTATGTGATCAGTTGAGAATATTGATTACAAATTGACTTTTTTTACTTCATACATCGTTCAACCTTTTTTTTTTATTTTCGAGCGAATAGGCAAGACAGAGAGTGACGACTGTTCATATGAAGTATTTTGTATGTCTGATTCCATCCTGTAGCTGCATATGCATTCCTGATGTACCATTGACTTTATTTAGTTTATTTTTACACCAATTGGTAATATTTTTGTTGATTAATTGTAGTTGGAGCAGTTTAACAAATTACTTGAAATGTGATTTCTTCTGTAGTTTTATGAACGTTTTTTTACTCGTAACCAACGACAGTATGTAGAAGCAGGTTTTTTTCCTCTTATCTGGTTTTTTTTTTCGTTGTTCTATAGACGTATCTAATTTTTTCAACAAACAATTGGTTTTTTTCTCAGGGACTTTTTTTTTATGAAGAGGCTTTAGGTAATTTTTCATTGGTTGATGAGTTGAGTAAGGGCATTCATAGATGAGAAGACCGGGAAAAAAAATCTACTGACATCAAAAATCGTCAAGTGCTTTTTATGGTCGACAAGGAAACTGACGGTGGACTTTGAGTACTAATCACAGCAGCAAATTTGTGAAAAAGAACCTTGTTTTGTTTTTTACTTGTATACATGACTCATGACGTTTTTTACAATATCAGTGTTTGTCAGTAAAAAAAAAATGCAGTTTATTAAAGATTGTTAATAGCTTTTTGGGAGGCAATAGATAGTCTCGAGAAATTTTTTTCAGAGGCTATCAATTTTTTTATCATTTACCTTGGTTTTCGTAGTTACAGTATTTGTCTGGGTTAAGACAATGTAAGCTTCAAGTGTTGTGGTTTGATTGTCATGTCTTCTCTCCACCACTTGTTCAACTGTTGGGATTAAATGCTTCTTTTTCTTAAACTGCCATAACGTAACGATTAACGGTCAACTCTGTAGCATAATTTTAATGCGCAGGCCATCAGTACGATGTTTCTGATGAAGAAATTACGTTTTCGTTTTATACTTGTACAGGGTATTTATTCAAATATTTTGTTAGATTTATCAA